AGAAATCACCAGTGTTGGGGTGCCTGGGTGGCTCAATCAGTAAAGTGTCCGACCTCTGCTCAGGCCATGATCTCGCGGTTCATGGGTTCGAGCCCCGCAATGGGCTCTGTGCTGACAGCTCAGAGCCTGGAGCCTGTTTCGGATCCTGTGTCTCCCTGTCTCTCTGCCCCTCCCCCGTTCGTGGTCTGTCTCTCAAAAATAAATAAATAAATGTCATAAAAACAAACAAACACTGAGTGAGGAGAGCACTTTTCTCTTCCCAGTATATATTTTATTTCTAATCCTAACGACAGACCTGTGGGGTTCATTTTCATTGCCCCATTTAAAAAAAAATAATAAGTAAGATTCACAAAAGTTAAGGAAATTGCCAGGACACACAGTTAATAAGGGATGGAGGTGGAACGTGAATCTGGGTCTTTCTAGTCTTGAACACGGTATTTGAACCAGACCAAGAGTGAGGCGGGGTGGTAAGAAGGAGAAGATAAATACTCAGACAATATCCTCACGGAGCTGAGATCTGTAACTTGCTGCCCAGCCTTCTCAAAATACTTGCGAGCAAATTAAGGCTCCGATGGAGAGGAGGAAGGGCTTGAATGAAGGGTGGCAGGGAGGGAGAGTAGGAAGGAAGAAGAACTGACTTGGGTACAAGCTGGCTGGGTGGATGGATGAAAAGGGTAGAAGGACGGATGGGTAAGAAGAAAGGACGCATGGAGGGGGTGCAGAGGACACGGTGGAGGAGGGGAAGGAAGAAGGCTACATGGAAAGACATGCTCACCAGGAAGGAAGTATGTGTGGATGGGAAAGATGGAGAACAGGAAGGAAAGGCAGATGGACGGGTCACGGGCTAGATGGAAGCAAATAGAAGGTTGACTGGCTGCCTGGGAAGGGACGGAAGGACAGGAGGAAAGGAGAACAAGGGAGGGGGGACAGACAAGAAGGAAAGATGTATGGGAAGTGAAGAAGAATGGATGGATGGGGAGGGTGGATGGCAGGAGAGCAGGTGGTTGGCTAGACTAAAGGCAGGAAGACAGTGTAAAGGAAGAGGAAGGAAGGAAGGAAGGGTGGGAAGGCGAGCGGGCAGACAGGCTAGAAGAGCGAAGGATGAACAGGTGGATGGACGGATGGACAGGATGGACAGGAATAAGAGATTAGAAGGAAAGACGCGTCGAGGAGGTTACTTTTGTAAGTAGTATTAATGTTGGCTTTGCCTCCGCCTCCCTAAAGCTCTCCTGATTCTCCCATAGCACACTCCATGCCGGAATGACCTTTCCTGCCTTTTCCTGCCCTCGGCTGTGGCCCTGGTCATTTTCTCGCTTGAGTTTCGGTAGTTTGCATACTTCATTTCCCCCGAATTTCCTCCAGCTCCTGGAGGTCAAGATCCCCGTTCCCTCCAGCTCCCTGCCCAGGGCTTAATATGTAATCGGAGTCCACTGGACTCTGACCCACAGAACCGAGATAATGTGTGTGTGTTGTCTGCAGCTGCTCTGTGGTGATAATGGCACCAAGTGGGCAAGATTCTGACAGCCCAGCGATACGGGAAGGGTGCCCAGGTGCAAGGGACAGCATGAGGAAAGGCAGGTTAGCTGTGAGCTTGGCCTGTTCATTTGACCTCTCCGAGCCTCAGTTTGCCTCTTCTGTAAGATGGGAATAGTGGTAGCTCCCTTCCAAGGTCACTGCAAGACTTCAATCAAATGGCTTGAAGGCTCTTGATGCAAACACTAGAGCCATTTTCCCCCTTCTAGGAGCGGTCTCTGGGCTGGGGGCGGGGCTTGGGGGGA